CTAAGAGATGTTTTAATCTATTGTTTTTCCCTTTAGGGTGATTTTTGTTAGACCTAATTTCCCTTTGGAACATAAGTAGTCTGGACAGCTAGAATTATACCATCTACCTGCCACACAGGAGGCGGGTAGGTGACATATCCCAGCTATCACTACCCAGTTAATCCCTCGGCCCCAGAAAATCGGCTCAACGAAAATTATGAACTCAGTTGTCCATAAAATGGAAATTTAATGTAGCGAAGAACTTCAGGAACAGTAGAGGGAAAAAACCTAACCTGAGCAGGGCATCCTTCACTCCAGGCATCCTTCACCTTCACACATCCCTCACCCTCAGACATCTTTCATCCTCATACATCCTTTACCTAGGCAACCTTCGGCTCAGGCATGGTTCACAACATCAGGGTGGACGGGTTAACTCGCCACAGCCATTATCAGATTAGCTGTGGTAACCCAGCCTCCCAGGACTTCTAATTACTGGTAACACCTCTACCTTTCCTCCCTACCTCACCCTCTCTCTCTCTCTCTCTCTCTCTCTCTCTCTCTCTCTCTCTCTCTCTCTCTCTCTCTCTCTCTCTCTCTCTCTCTTGACAGAAATGCATAGCATAATTATTGGCTTTCTTTTGTGCTTTCAGTTGTAATAATAAATGTCTGCATTATTTTCATGACGCTGAGGAATAAAGGATAATCATTATCATAATGGAATTCTCGCTTCAGTGGCGCTGCTTTATAGTTTGCTTCCCTCAGCAACAATCTTGCAGATCACTGCCTTTCCATTTTTTCAGTCGAAATTTGTGCAACTTGTCTCCATCACTAAGAATCTTGTCTTGGCTAAATTGTTTTCAGAACGTTATGGACATTCCTTTAATTCCTGTTTTTCCATTTGTCCACTGCAATCATAACTCTCTAATTCTACGTCTTTCCAAAGAATGCAAATTCAATTCCTTTAATCAGTCTTCACAGGAAAGATTTCCGATACAGGAGATCAACTCGGTCTTCATTGTTTGCATGTTTTCAAAGAGTTTTTATGTTAATTGTGTAATATGTAGCCCATAACTGAGCAGCATAATCAAAATGAGGCCTTAATAATGACATAAAGTTGCATTATAACGTAAGGACTTCTAATATTTGACATCATGTTATGAAGCCAAGAATTCTGCTAGTTCTTTTTGCCAACACTTATGCACTTTTGTTTTGGCTTTAGATTACCACTAAAATTCCGAAATATTTTTCACATCCTGCTTAATTGAGGTCAATATTATTTAGTTTATATGCGATTTAATTACTTTCTTTTAACAAGGTTAGAATTTAACATTTACTCTAAACTGAATTTACCACTTGTCCGACCACAATAACAACAGCTTATCATAACATCCTGTAGCACTCCGTAGCCTCATCAAAATTTATTTGAGGGCCTATTTTAATGTCAACGGGAAACTTGCTTCTACGTAAGAACATAATATGACCGTAGTGAAACACCACTGGTAACGGCTCCCCATTATTTCTCCCCATTTATGCAACTCTGTTGAGTACTGGATTAACGTTACTTTGATCCAGTCTCCTGTGTGGAACTCGATTCAGCTTAGCCTTATTGAAATCCATATACACGATGCTGTTTTATATCTCTGGTCAACCACCTCAAATACCTCGGTGAAAAAAAATAGCAAAATTATAATCATGAAACTCATTTGATCAATGAGATTCATTGATCAAATTATATTTAAAAAAAGTGAGTCCGAATTGCATTTGCAATTACTGATTCTATCAACTTTCCTTTGAAGATTCGTTGAAGATCCATTAAAAAGATTAGACTTTTTTGTGAAGTTCCTTTTTATATTCTTTTATAAATCTGGAAAACAGGTTGTCACATCTTGGTGATTTGTTTGGTTTTAAATCTAAATATTTGCTTATTAACCATGTCACTAGTGACTTACATATTCAATAATTTATTTTGGTCGTGACTGGTATAATAATTGATATCTTCATCCTCTTCAATCTTCCGTTTATGCCTCTGTATTGTATTAGTAAAGCCACTGGATGGCGAAACGTCTGCATAATATACTCGGTTGTTGCACATGTGTATGTTTCTTTGCCTCAGATCTCGGGTAATTCCTCAGCCCCGTAGAGTTTGCAACATGAAAATCAGGAACCTTAATTTATTATCGTTATCTGGAGAACACTGATATATTGAAACTGTTTTGTGATCACTTCCTCCACACTTTTCATTAACCTCAAGATTATTTTATTTACAAGATAGTGCCCGTTTGTAAGAACCAGGTCAAGCATGTTATTTCTTCTAGTTGGTCCTGTTACTATTGATTTAAAAAAAGAAGTCCTGGACAATTTCTAAAAACTTGTTAGACTTTATAATTCCAATTAGATTGTTCCATTTAATTTAGGTACAGCTGAAATCTTACACTGAAACTATATTTTCGTATCTACATGCTTTAGTAATTTCGTCCCATAGAAACTTATAATGGTCACCATTTAGGTTTGGAGGGCCGTAGATCACACCCTAGATTAGTTTTTCACACATTTAGAGAAACTGACGACCAAGAGGATTCATTTACCGTCCCGTCCATCTTATATTATTCCAGATGATAAAGTTTAAATTTTCTCTAACATACGTAGCAACTCTTCTGTTGTGTCGTTCTGTGTGGGATAATTCATACATTTACTACTCCATCAAAGGCTCTTCCTGTGATCGTATTTGCTTGGACCTCCTCTTTTCTACAACACTGAAAGCTCCTGATGTGTTGATTGCAACACGAAAGGCGTAGAGCTGTCATTCAACTTCCCCCGTAGTTGTTTTGCTTACCTTTGTAAGTGGCATTCAACAGGTATATCCTCATTTCTCAGACTAAACCCCATCTCGGTAATAATATCTGTGCTTCCAGCACATGCAATTAGTCTTATTTCGTCTATTTTATTTCTGGCTCTCCGACTATTAGTATAATAAACATAAACGTTATTGATCTCTTGTCTTCTCTCTCTCTCTCTTCTTCTCTCTCTCTCTCTCTCTCTCTCTCTCTCTCTCTCTCCTCTCTCTCTCTCTCTCTCTCTCTCTCTCTCTCTCTCTCTCTCTCTCTCTCTCTCTCTCTCTCTCCCTGTTGATCATTTCCTTGTCTTTAACGGTGAATATTTTATAAGCGAGGATTTTTTGGACGGTTGTCTATAATGTTTTGGAAATTCTTGCTCCTTCCATCCCAAGTTATGTAACCACCAACCTTGCCACCCATATACCCATACCTCTACCACATACGCAGGTACCTCTGCTACATACACCCAAATCTCTACCACATACACACATATATATGTACCTCTACCACATACACACATGTGCCTCGACCACATACAACGGATCCTTCGTCTGAGCTGTCCAATGCTGTCACCCATTTTCCAAACTAATTTTCAGCATATTTTCCTCCTTGAAAAGTAGGACTTCCTCCTTTAACATCCTGATCTCTGATTCCACAAGCAAGCCATGATAACACTAACACTCACCCCCGAGCTCCCCAAGAAAAGCTGCTGACAGGTAACACGGCCTCTCTTGACGACCTCTGATGTCTTACCCCGTCAACCCCATTCTCTCTCTCTCTCTCTCTCTCTCTCTCTCTCTCTCTCTCTCTCTCCTCTCTCTCTCTCTCTCTCTCTCTCTCTCTCTCTCTCTCTCTCTCTCTCAGCTACTCACCTCTCGATCTTCAGCAGTTAAGAAGAGAAAATATTATTGGCATGCGGATATTCATAACGTTGCTGTTTTCCTGTCACTTTGGTGCTCATGTTTCCTCACAGGTTGACAAAATTTTCCTGATAGATTAAACAAAATAGAAAAGAAATTTTGTGTATAAGGTAGGGGAATATACCTGTGATATACCTATGACCGGTTTAAGGATTTTCTCTGCCCTCGAAGCCCGGTCTGGAGCCAGGCTTTTCTTCTGTCTGGGGTATGGGAACAAATTCTTGGGTAGCACTGGGGAGAGGTTGGGCAAATACGTGGGTGGTTTTGATAAGAACTTGCTATATATGGGCCAGTAGGCGGCCTGCTACAGTCTTCCTATGTTCTTATGGTCCTGAGGATATCCCTCCAAGAGAGCAGATTTTTCAATTGGCACTGAAGCTGTCTGCAGAAAAAGACTATTTACTACTGTGCCAGCAGAGGACTGTCTTCTATTTACAAATAGGTGAGGCAAGAAAGGTAAAGCAGAAAGTTCTTCGCACATCCTTCTGTGCCTCTGGCCACTTCCTGCTTGAGAAAGATGGTAAAATATTATACCATTATATCTGGACGGACATTTTATTGGAGAGGAAGAGGTGGATGGGAGATATGAACTACAATTATCTTAACTACAACTACTTTACGACAACTACTCTTACTAATTGAACGCATGTCGTAGTGTTGTCAAGTGAACCGTGTCCTATGGAGCATCTGTACTTCCGGAAATACCTCTACGATACTGCTGGACACTTCCCGGAATGGACTGTAGAATCCCGTGGTACTAACAACTTCAGGAGGAGACTATTCCAGTGGTTGAATTTTGTTCTACTTGTGAGAACACTAATTTTTCTGATTCATTGCTTTAAAGTATTTAACAGTGTTCGTATAATATATTGGGATTCACTTTCACATGTGCAGTGGTTGGGTGTCATCATCATTAGAGAAATGGTGTTTGAGGTGGTCAGTCCCTCAACCTGGAGAAGAGTTCAGGTCCATGGATTGGGACGATATCGTTCCAGTTCATGGAACTGAACTCCAGGTTGAGGGACTGGCCACCTCAAACACCATTTCTACAAGGTTGGTGGACTAATTACATCATCTTACTTCGCTGCTACGCCTTGTGGCTTCTGTATTTGACTGAATAAACCTACTATGTAGGCGACACCTTTCAACAATAAAGATACCCAGCTGCTGCACATCAGTATTTTATATCATTTTCAGAATTTTAAGACATGCTGTACAGAATAGCCATCGCCTAATCAAAATTTTCTTTGCTTGCCTCCACCAGGGGAAGGTGTATCTGTTCGACCGTGTGATCAAGCCCAACTCTACACAGGAGAAAGTTTACGATATCGTCGCCAAAGACATCGTTAAAGGTAAGCAAGCTTCCCTTTTATTAACCTTGTTGTTATTGTTGATTAGCTGCTTATCTCAACATAAAGGATGTAGCTAGATGCTAGATCGTTCTTTAAAATCCCACTTAATGTAAATTTAAGCAGTAATGATCCCACCCAGTCTGAATTTGTTCCTAAGGCAGTTTTGAAGATCAGTGTTTACACTAATTAATAACCTCAAATACTCAATAGATATCCCCCGACATGGAATACTCAGAGCGTTTTTGCTAATATTTTCTGATCTACTTTTAACTTTCAGCGATAATGTATCTTATTTACAAATGGAACACAACATGGAGACAGTAAGTATATTGGTAGAGTGTAACAAGGGAAGTAAGACCAGCAAAGTGGAAAGCGGAGGAATTATTATATATATATATATATTATATATATATAATATATATATATATATATATATATATATATATATATATATATATATATATAAATATATATATAAATATATATGTCGTGCCGAATATGTAAAACTGGTCAATTAGCAAGAACTCATTTAAAATTAAGTCCTTTCTGAAAATTTCTCTTATATGTTTAAAGATATATTTTTTTCATTAATGTTAACGTAAAAAATATATATATATATATAAACTGAATATTCTAATAACTACAGAGAAGGTAAATGACGAGGATGGAAGGAAGAAAAATAGAGGAAAGAAAGTTGAATTTCTGCTGAAGTAACTGTGAATAGGGTGGGAATTTTTAGAATTGAACTGAGGTATATGGAGCGGTAACCAGAGCAGGAAGCACCAGTGAACACCCAAGTTAATACAGTTCAGAAGACACCAGGAACGATACATGTAAATATTACCAGGGCTGGCCATAGTGGCCGTAGGTAAACATTATTATGCTCAACAGGAGATCTATCGGTAAACATTACTGTTAACAGGGGAGCCTGCTGAGGACAACAGGGTGCCAATAAATAAACACTTTGGACAACAGATAACCTGTTGGTAGTGATAGTGTGTGTGTGTGTGTGTGTGTGTGTATGTGTGGTGATAGTGAGTGTGGGAGTGGAAGAGATTGTATGTTATAGTGATGGTGTTTGAGGAAGAGAGTGTGTGTGGTAGTGACGGTGCGTGTAGTAGTGATAGTGAGTGTGGGAATATTAGAGATGGTGTGTGGTAGTGATGGTGCATGGTAGTGACTGTATGTGGTAGTGATGGTGTGTATGGTAGTGATGGTATGTGGTGTTGATGGTGCATGGTAGTGACTGTATGTGGTAGTGATGGTGTGTGTGGTAGTGATGAGGGTGGGAGTGGAAAAGATGGTGTGTGGTAGAGATGGTGTGTGGTTGTGACGGTGTGGTAATGATGGTGTGGTAGTGATAGTGTAGTAGTAACTGTTGTTCCCAGGCTGAACACTGTTTCCAGGCTGAACACTGTTGTTTCCAGGCTGAACACTGTTGTTTCCAGGCTGAACACTGTTGTTTCCAGGCTGAACACTGTTGTTTCCAGGCTGAACACTGTTGTTTCCAGGCTGAACACTGTTGTTTCCAGGCTGAACACTGTTGTTTCCAGGCTGAACACTGGTGTACCCAACACTCTACTTCCCAGATTCTCTATATGAATCCTTTGCTCTCATAGCTTGTGCCACTGGCGGGTTTTCTCCGTTATAAAGAGGCTTTGGGCCAATCAGAGGCGTTCGAATGCTCTCCACGGATCAAAGCGGCAGTATTCCACCATCACAGTTACGGGAAATGCATCTTTGAATTAATTTAGATTATAGCAGTTGTGTAGCGTAGCTGCGAATGACAGTCAATTGTTTCTCAATGGTTTTCCATTAATATGTATGAAGGTAGACGCCAGCCTGTGTGTGGTGTGTGTGTGTGTGTGTGTGTGTGTGTGTGTATAGTCATATATGAGGTGGCAGGGGTCGAGCCTCAGCTCCTGGCCCTGCATCTTTTCTGGTCGCTAATGGGTTTACTCCTTCCTGGTTATAGAGCCTCATCGTACCTCTTCTTAAAGCTATGCATGGAACTTGCCTCTACCACTCCACTCTCCAGGTCGATCCACTTCATGATTATCCTTTAGAGTTTTTCCGGTCTTTTGTATGTTATATCGCTCCAGTCCTCCTTTCATCTGTCATAAGAATTATCTCCCTTAATCTCTCCTATCAGCAGATACCTCTCAGTTCCAAGACAATCCTCGTTGCGAACCTCTGCACATTCTCCAGATTTTTTTTACATGATTGATCAATTATCGGTTGCATACCAGTGCTGCATACTTCAATATGAGCCTGACTTCTGTCGTATAGTGGCGTGATTGTCTCCTTGCATAGATTCCTGAGAACTAGTCTTCGATTTGCCAGTTGAGCGATTGTTGCAACAGTTGTTTGATTGATGTGGACCTCGTGCGATATTCTCGGTACAAAGCTCATCCCGTGGTCCTTCTCTTTGAGCGAGGTTTGCAGCATTTGCACCCCTGCACGTACTCTGCCTGCGGTCTTCTTTGCCCATCCCCAATCTTCACAATTTGCACTTGCCTGGGTTAAATTCTAGTAGCCACTTGTCAGACCAGATCTGCAACCTGTCCAGGTCCATTTCCATTCTTTCCTAGTCCTCACCTGTTTCTATTCTCCTCAGTAGTTTCACATCATCTGCGATCAGGGATTCCTCTGGCTCTGTTTCTAAAATCATGGCATTCATGTATACAAGAAATAGCACCGGTCCTAGTGATGATCCTTGTGGAACACCATTCGTTACACGCGCCTCTTCCAACACTTACTTCTTCTCGGACAGTCACTCGTTGTTTCATTCCTATTAAGGATTCACAGTTATTCTTGCCTGCTCCTCTATGTCCTGGTCTCTTGTGCGGTCAAAATATACACATCTTTGCATTCCTCTCTGCTGCCTAACATCTGCTATCTTGTCGTAGAACTCAAGTAGGTTTTGAGAAAGAATTTAGCATCTCTACATCTGTGCTGGTTGTCTTTCATACACCCACCCCTTTCCAGTTGCTTCATTATTCTTCTTCTGATAGTTTTCTCTATAACCTTACATACTTTGTATGCTAGTGAGACTGTTGTTCAACGCTACCTGTCTGTCCCCTTTCTAAGTACTTGGTCTATATTTACTGTCTTCCACACCTCTGGCAGTTGCGCTATGTCGACTGATATAGTGAAACTGCTTATGGCTAGTGGTTCACAACGTACTTGTGCTTCCACTCTCACGACTCGTGAGAGAAAGATTATCTGGCTCCATTGACTTCGAGTTATCTCGCTCGTACAACAGTACTGTGCCCAGTACTCGGTGAAATATTATAATGCTTTGAGTTTCTGGTATCATCTCTATTTCCTCAGAAAATGCCTATTTAAATTTCTTGCTGGCTTTTCACTGTTTCTTCTTCCTAATGTGGCTGTGTAGCAACTTAGGTTCGGATTTAGTTTTCAATGCAGTATCAATCTCAAATTGTCGTAAAGCCTGTTTTCTTATGCATGCATATTTATTTCTGGCTCCTTTACTCGCTTGTTTTCCTTCGTTTTATGCCTTTTTCCTTTTTCATATTCTAGCATTTCTATTGTTTGCACTATTGCACCTCTGGGTGAAATCTGGATTTACTGTCTTTTCCATTTCTTCTTTTCCTTCTGGGAATGAATTTCTTCTCTGCTTGTGTGCTCATTCCAACTTCGTCCTCCATCTTATTCACTGTCTTCCCTTCTATTAACCGTCCCGTTGCACCTCCTTCAGGAATTAACTCATGACTGTGTAATCTCTCTTAAAGTGAGTGTGACTGTGTAATTTACAGAAAGCTTTCCAAATGCGTTTCTTTGCATGAGGTGGTATAACAGAGAGAAAGTTTCGGAAATTAATTGATATTTGAGAACTTTGCCTCTCCATTATCAGTCAGTTTGCATAATTATGCAAATCCACACTGGGTTTATTCAAGCCTTGTTTTCACTTAATTTTTTTTTTGAATCGCTTACCATATATTACTATCTCTTTATAGAGCTTTATAACTTCGTTGGTGTGTGTGTGTGTGTGTGTGTGTGTGTGTGTGTGTGTGTGTGGGGGTGTGTGTGTGTGTGGATGTGTGGGTGTGTGTGTGTGTGGGGGTGTGTGTGTGTGTGTGGGGTGGTGGGGTGTGGGTGTGTGGGTGTGTACATGTGTGTATGTGTGTGTATATGTGGTGTGTGGGTGTGTACATGTGTGGTGGTGTGGGTGTATATATGTGTGTATGTGTGTGTGTGTGTGTGTGTGGGTGTGTACATGTGTGTATGTGTGTGTATATATGTGTGTGTGTATGTGTATGTGTGTATGTGTATGTGTGTATGGTGTGTGTGTGTATATATATATATTATATTATATATATTATATATATATATATATTATATATTACACACAACACACACACTATATATATATGTGTGTGTGTGTGTGTGTGTGTGTGTATATATATGTATGTGTGTGTGTTTTATATGTGTGTGTAATTGTGTGTGTGTGTGTGTGTTTGTGTGTTTGTATGTGTGTGTGTGTGTGGTGTGGTGTGTGTGTGTGTGTGTCTGTTGTGAGATATGCTACGTGTGGGTTGTTGTTTGTAGTTGTGTTGTGTGTAGGTGTGTTGTGTGTAGGTGTGTTGTGTGTAGGTGTGTTTGTAAATGTGTTGTGTGTTAGTGTGTTATGTGTTAGTGTGTTATGTGTTAGTGTGTTGTGTTAGTGTGTTGTGTTATGTGTCAGTGTGTTGTGTTGTGTCAGTGTGTTGTGTTGTGTCAGTGTGTTGTGTCAGTGTGTTGTGTTAGTGTGTTGTGTTATGTGTCAGTGTGTTATGTGTCAGTGTGTTGTGTCAGTGTGTTATGTGTCAGTGTGTTATGTGTTAGTGTGTTGTGTCAGTGTGTTATGTGTTAGTGTGTTATGTGTCAGTGTGTTATGTGTTAGTGTGTTGTGTCAGTGTGTTATGTGTTAGTGTGTTATGTGTCAGTGTGTTATGTGTTAGTGTGTTGTGTCAGTGTTATGTGTCAGTGTGTTATGT